GGGAATACTGTGTAGTGTAAGGGTTAACAGTTCGTGTTAGGGTATATGTTAATATTTAGTGATTGTGTAGGGAATACTGTGTAGTGTAAGGGTTAACAGTTTGTGTTAGGGTATAGGTTAATGTTTAGTGATTGTGTAGGTAATACTGTGTAGTGTAAGGGTTAACAGTTCGTGTTAGGGTACAGGTTAATGTTTAGTGATTGTGTAGGTAATACTGTGTAGTGTAAGGGTTAACAGTTCATGTTAGGGTATAGGTTAATGTTTAGTGATAGTGTAGGGAATACTGTGTAGTGTAAGGGTTAACAGTTTGTGTTAGGGTATAGGTTAATGTTTAGTGATCGTGTAGGGAATATTGTGTAGTGTAAGGGTTAACAGTTTGTATTAGGATATAGGTTAATGTTTAGTGATAGTGTAGGGAATACAGTGTAGTGTAAGGGTTAACAGTTCGTTTTAGGGTATATGTTAATGTTTAGTGATTGTGTAGGGAATACTGTGTAGAGTAAGGGTTAACAGTTCGTGTTAGGGTATATGTTAATGTTTAGTGATTGTGTAGGGAATACTGTGTAGAGTAAGGGTTAACAGTTCGTGTTAGGGTATATGTTAATGTTTAGTGATCGTGTAGGGAATACTGTGTAGTGTAAGGGTTAACAGTTCGTGTTAGGGTATATGTTAATGTTTAGTGATTGTGTAGGGAATACTGTGTAGTGTAAGGGTTAACAGTTCGTATTAGGGTATATGTTAATGTTTAGTGATTGTGTAGGGAATACTGTGTAGTGTAAGGGTTAACAGTTCGTGTTAGGGTATAGTTTAATGTTTAGTGATTGTGTAGGGAATACTGTGTAGAGTAAGGGTTAACAGTTCGTATTAGGGTATATGTTAATGTTTAGTGATCGTGTAGGGAATACTGTGTAGTGTAAGGGTTAGCAGTTCGTGTTAAGGTATAGGTTAATGTTTAGTGGTTGTGTAGGGAATACTGTGTAGTGTAAGGGTTAACAGTTCGTGTTAGGGTATAGGTTAATGTTTAGTGATTGTGTAGGGAATACTGTGTAGTGTAAGGGTTAACAGTTCGTGTTAGGGTATAGGTTAATGTTTAGTCATAGTGTAGGGAATACTGTACCCCATAGTAAGGGTTAACATTTAGTTATAATGTAGTGTATTTGGGGGGTTAATGTGTGACATACATGTCTCCTGTGCTGCCTGAGATTAGTGGGATTCACAGTTCCAGGATGGCTGCTGTGGTCATTATAATGAAGGCAAGTGCCACTTTGGAGTGTGACTCCCACCAATCTTAGGCAGAACAAGACATAAAACACAAGACTTAAAGGGGTGATCAAAGCATTATTAGAAGTTCATTAGGTGGAAAATGACATGCATGACATCATAGTATATGTAATACAGGATTCAAAAATATGACCTGCCTACTGAAATAATAGAGATTATGTAATATAGCTTTAAAACTTACAAGGCTAATTTAAAATATCACTTATCCTCAGGCAATTTGTATGGGATATAAGTCACAGCGATTGCCATACTAAGTCCACCACTGCTCCCAAAGTACCCAGACACTGGTGCACACACTATCATGTCTGTGCAGGCTCCCTTAGTAAAGATTCCCCCTGGAACAATAAGGAAGGGGGAACATGACAGCCGCCCAAGATTGTGGGATGGATCATGGAAGATACAATGTTGCTAATGTTGGGGGTTCTTAAGGAAGGGGAGAGGGAGGGGACTTACCAGTCGGCAGGATCAGTTGAGGGCTCCTGACTGTTTTCTTAGCTGACTGCAGTGGCGTACTAAGGGGGGGGGGCGTCGGCCCCCAATGCTGCAGCCGCCCGAGCGCTCTGTAGAGAGCCTCAGGTGGCTGCAGCTTTGCCCGGGCGGTGCGTCCATGAGGGCGCACCACCCGGGCGCAGCATGAGGAGAGGGGCTGATAGGAGGAAGCGCTCAGCGCTCCCTCCTGTCACTCCCTCTCTGTAGCGTGGCCGAGCCCAGTATCATGGTCCGCGGGTACAGGGAGCATCTGAACTGAGTGTTCACTTGATTTTTGTGACCACAGTTACAAACCGCCTCCAAAGAGCCTGTACTACACCAGACCAGTGGAGCCAGACTGCAGCTAGAGCCCATCATCATCCTCATCTGGTTGTAAGTAGGCAATCTAGTATATTATTCGTGGCACTAAGCTCTAATTTACCTCACATTAAAGAAACACTATAATCCCCAGAACCACTTCAGCTTAATGTAGTGGTTCTGGTGTCTATAGCCTGTCCCTGCAGGCCTTTTAATGTAAACACTGCAGCACTGGCATTAGATAACATGGCAAATCATATGGGTGGGGCATTGTGATGTCACTTGGGGGAGGCGGCAAACTTTACATTTGCCTAGGGCGGCAAAAATCCTTGCACCGGCCCTGGCTGGAGGGGGCTGTGTGAGCTGTGGCCGCACAGTGCCCCATGGTAGTTAGGGTGCCGTGTGGCCAGTACAGCTCACACAAGCAAACAGCTGCTAAACTGGCCGCACAGAGGAAAAGTGGGGCGGAGCTAAGCAAAATCTGAGTTGGAGCCAAACTGGAGCTGGGGCGGGGGGCAAGCAGGTGCCAAGCACAGGATCCGCCCTGGGTGCCAAATGCTCTAGGTACGCCCCTGACTCCACGAATATGCTGGGTAGACTATGGACCTCTAGAGGTCATAAAGAAGTACTGCACGTATTTCAAGTTATCAGTATAATGTGTTTTCACAAGTTAAATTCAGCAGCACTTGTCGCTATTTTATCTTAACTGATCCTTATGTACATGTTTTTAGGTTGCCGAACTTAAACCCTCCCCACTTCATTGCTGTACCTCTTAGGTTGTCAAGGATTATAATTTATGATTGACTTTGGTTTCAATTATCACACGGTTTAGGTTGGATTTGAAATTTTTTATCAGCTAGTAATCAGTTATGCTCTTGTTTAAAGTTCTAAGTTGGCCATATTTATTTATTACAGATTGAGGTCTCTCTGCATATTCACATACATCTCCTGTCTTTTCATTAGACAATATTACATCAGTTAGTGATTTTTGGATTTATCTTACATTTCCAGATTTTGTCACTCATTTGCTCGGAAACCTAACTGTTTCCTTTATGTTACTAGGTACTAGGCCCTACTGGTTATACTACCAAGTTACATTCCAGCTGCTTAATTTTTAGGCCTAATCTATTGACTGGTAAGTATTCCACATTATCTTATATTACTACCTCCTTTTACTATCATGTGGTGGGTACTACATGATGACTATTTACTCTCGTAGGTATCACTCAAAGTCATCTACGCATTCCTACCATATTTCTCCAATAAACTACAGGTAGGTGTACCCAGAGGTCATTATACTTTTCCATCCCCATCCCACCTCCTACAGGGTGAGACTTGGTCTACTGGCTGATAGGGTTCAGAGTCCACTTAGGTGAATTTTCTGGCCTTCATGCCAAGTCTTAGAGGTCCTGCGAGGCCAACACCCATCCTCATATTCAGAGGTACTCACGCCCAAACAGCCAACACATAGTTAGTCGCCTCGCATAAAGGTATAGAGAGGGCCTCCCCTGTCACTCCCATTCTATCTTTTGCCTTACTAGTCACCGAGAGGCCACCACATCAGTGGCCTCAAAATCCCCTCGGGCCAACACATAGCTAGAGCCTCTCATGCCACTTGGCAACTAGTAAGGGCCTCCCTCTCCGGTCTTAGATAAGTTCTTCGCCACTTGGCATTAGTAAGCTAGCCAGTACATCACTATTACTTTGGTTTATCATGAATCTTTTGTGTTATTTTAGCATGTGTGAACTACCAGAAGCAAATGAGGAGGTGTATTCTGGCAAGGTCCATCTCTCCATTTTAGGGAGGGGACAATGCCAGCCTGTCTTCCCTCAGGTCCTGGAAAATACCCAGGATCACAGCCGAACTAAGATGCAGGAATCCCCTACCCTGCCACTGCCAGGAAGGCAGAGCTATATAGATTGCTAAATACCAACACGGACAATACCAGAACTGGCGAGGGCTGCAGTAATACCCAATCACTCCATGCCATACTATCTTCAGTCCTGTCCTCATTGGGACGCATTACGGATAAACTGGACCGGTTGAATGCAACTGATAGGCCAGTGGCTGTAGCTGGATTGGTTACTCCAGAAACTACTGGTCTCTCAAGCACCCTGACTGATAAATTCATTGGCCCACTCCAAACCCAAACACCATTAACCCAACACAAAAGATTCATACCAGTACATATAAAGAAGGATATCTTGGAAGTAAGGATGTAAATCTAGTTTCGCTGCTGATTGCCTCCCAAGATATCCTGGAAAACATGCCATATTCCTATGGCGATGTTTCTGTTGTACTAAAGCATAGGTCGTCAACCTGGTCCCTACCGCCCACTAGTGGGCATGTCAGTATTCCAGGTGGGCGGTAGGGATTTTCTAATTTTGAGAGG